GCACTGGTGTGGTTGCTCTTGATTCTGCTTCCCACAGGGGGTTTGCTCAGATGGCAGGCACCCCAGCTGAGTCTACACCTGGAGTTATTATGAGGAAGTGTGTGTTCTAGCAGATGGGCACACAAAATGTGTGGCAAGTTAGAAACCTTCCTTGTAGGCAGATCTCAAACTTCATTTCCTCATACATGCATGCAAAAGTCTTGATATCGTGAGAAGTTGTGGTTTCTGAGGGCCCAAAGGCTTATCACTCCCACTACTGTGTTCACCAAAGGCAGCCACAAGACATAGGTAGCAGAAATAAATTCTATTTTGTTTCCTTTTCTGGTCCCGTTTCGTGCTTTCCCCATCTTTTCTGGAAAGGCTGTGGCCAGATAGATACTAGCCAGTGAAATTTCTCACCTTGACTTACCTTTTTATTCTGTCTGGCCTCCCCTCCCGTGCACCTCCTCACCCCCAGCTTGGTCTGTGGATTTCTCAAGGCCTTCATAGACCTCATTGTACAAAGTAAATATGTGCTTCTCTTAACCAAAGCAAAGCATTCTGGCCTAACCTGACCTATAGAGAGTGCACATACAGCCTATTTTTCAGTCAGTCTCTTCTGCTTATCATTTACTCTGGAAACTCAAGTGGTTCCCAAAGATAAGCCTTCTAAGACAGCCCATGATATCAGTGAAATCAAGCTTCTTTATTAATTGGACTTTCAGAGTTAAATAAAGTTGCTTTACATATCAGCTTCTTAGTTTCCAAAATGACTTGAAAATTGTAAGCTTAGTTTCTTTGTTCAGTAAATTGGTTTTTGGTGCTGTCAAGTACATTGTTGTTGTTTTGTGCTGTCGAGTTGCCTGTGACTCATGGCTAACCCTATGTACAACAGCCCTAAACCCTGCTCTATCTTGTACCAATCTTACTGTCTCTGACACACCTTTCCCATTACTCCAGTCACTCTCAAATACATCTCAAAAATGAACCTATGACCTTAGACAGTTTCAGCTACAGTAAAGAGAAGACAACACTGTGCTAATGCTGTAATTATGCTTTATTTTAATATTTCCATTGGTGGATTATCAAACAGGATGAAGCAGACCAACAGGTTTCATTCCTGAGAAATTGTATTTTCAGTCATCTTCAGCCTTGCTTAACCTGATCTGCGTCTTCCAAGGAGCTCAATGCTGCACGGTGCTGCCCCCAACTGGTTGTTTTTGGTGACTTTATGGCTACTTCAAAATAAAAGTACCTGAGCCAGTTCCTGGAATTGAATCTTTCTCTCTCTACAGATGGATAGGTTTGTTTTGGGTTTTTTTTTTTAATATGCATTATATTTTTCAATGCAACATAGATATTTTTTACAGCATATTCTTCCCGTTTAATTTTCCCCCCACATTCATTGTTGCACATTTTCCTCCCTGCCTACCCCCTTCCCCGAATTTGCTTTTTTCTTTGAAAAGAAAAAAAATTTCTTTGTTACACAATCCCCCCTCCCCACATGATCCACTTTGCCATGCAGCTCTCATTCTGGACTCTCACCATGCAAATAATAACCAGTTATATATCCCTTTTAAACAGTTCTCTCCCTCATCTGTTTCAGTGCAGTGTACATTATTATTTATTCCCACTTTTCTTAGTTTCCCCCCAAACCCAATGTCAGTCCTGTTTTATAACAGTGGCCCCATGCAGTATTTGTCATTTTGTGACTGAGATATTTCACTCAACTTAATGTCCTCCAGGGTCACCCATTTTGTATAATATTTCATGAGTTCCTTGTTTTTCTATACTGCATAGTATTCCATTGTGTGAATATACCACAGATTCTCTAGCCATTTATTTGTTTATGGACACTTGGGTTGTTTCCAACTCTTTGCTGTTGTGAACAAAGCAGCAGTAAACATAAGTGTGCATATATCTGCTTGGGTATCAGTTATGGTTTCTTTAGGATATATGCCCAGTGGCGGAATTGCTGGGCCAAATGGTATTCTGTTTACAACTTTTTAAGAAAGCACCACACTGCCTTCCACAGCAGTTGCACCATTTTACACTCCCACCAACAGTGAAGAAAAGTTAGTTCCAGTTTCTCCACAACCTTTCCAGCATTTGTTGTTTCCTGCCCTGTTGAATTTTGCTATTCGTACTGGGGTGAGATGATATCTCAGAGTTATTTTGATTAGTTTTTTTTTTTAAAAAAAAAAAACTTCCATATACAGTTGTGGCCATTGGATCTCCAACTGTGAGCACATACCCACTCCCCAAGGCCCCTTCCATGTGTTTTGTTTTAGACTCTAAAAAGAACATTGTGAGTTATGTTGATATGAGAATATTACACTGACTTTATAAAAAAACCTCACAAAGACAACTTGACAGACTGGAACCAGCCAAATTGGAACCAGCTATTCCATGGGAAAAAGATGGGCAGTCTCTGCCTATTAAGGTTAAAGCCTCAGAAAGTTGATGGGTTGTTTTTTTTGTTTTTTTTTTTTTTTAAGTTGATGGGTTTTAATGAATCAGAATTTATTTGAAGCCAGTGAGTTTCTTACATGATTATTAAAAGGTAGCCTTACCCTAGAATTCTGATCATTTGCTCCTTATCCCATAGACTCCCTGGTCCTTTGTACATTTAATATCAAAATAAGTATTAAGTAAAAGTATATGTTGTTGTTGTTGTTATGTACCATCGAGTCCTTTGCAACTCATAGCGACCCTTTGAACAACAGACCTAAACCCTGCTCTATCCTGTGCCAATCGCATTGTCTCTGACACACCCATCCTGATTACCCCAGTCACTGAATCACTCCACCTCATCGAGGGTCTTCCCCTCCTGTGCTGTCCCTCCACCCTCCCAAGCATGATGTCCTTCTCCAAGGACCGGTCCCTCCTTACAACATGTCCTAAGTATGTCAGACGAAGCCCCAGAATCCTTGCCTCCAAGGTGCAGCCCGGTTTAACCCTCTCCAGGATGAATCTTTGTTTTCTTGGCAGTCCATGGTACATTCAATACTCTTCTCCAGCACCACAGCTCAAAGGCATCAATTCTCCTTCTATCCTCCCTAGTCAAGTATATATGTGTAAAGTGCAGTAGCTATTAAGTAAAAGTATATATGTGTATAATGCAGTAAGTATGAGTATATGTACTAATAATCTAAATATGTGTATGTGTATAAATTTTTAGAGGAATTTTTCCTCTTGGAATATAGAAGATAAAATCCATTTTGTAAGACTTGATTAGTTAACATAACTGGCAAGAATTCTTTAGTTTCTGCTCTGCACAAGCCTGTGACTCAGATGTTGTCATCTCCAGCATAAAAGAATAGTAAAGATTATGGACTGCTTGGGTTTGAACTGGTTTGAACTGAATTGATAACCTTAAGCAAATTAACTTTTAAATGCTTTTATTTCTCTATCTGTAAGGTGAGAATAATGGTACCTTAACTGCCTAGGGTTAATATGCTGATTAAATTAAAAAAAAAAATTTTGATCAGATGTGTGAAGTTGTTAGAATACTGCCTGCTATTAAGTATGCAGTCTGTCAAATGTTTGTCAAATAAATATTTGTTGTGATTATTATTATTTTCAAATGTACATGCTTATACTGTTTGCTCTTTTTTAAAAGCAAAGCAATGTTTTATGGATATATAAGAATAAAGGACAAATTTACATCTTCATGTAGTTTCTCCATACTCACTCCTTATCACTTATACCTTAATTCACTTTAGTTCTACTTATTTTCCCACTTTACTGAAACTGATTAAGGTTGCAACAACCTCCTATTAGATATTGTTGGACACCTTTCAGCCTCATCTTATTTGACCTCCTGCATTTGATACCTTTGATCATTTCCTTTGTGGTATGTTCTCCATCTTTCATTTCTGTGACATTTTTGCTCTGTTTTTCTGCCTGCCCCTTTAAATGTTCTTGTTCTTAAGGATTCTATTAATTCCTTAATTTACATGTTTAACATCTGGACATTTTCATATATTCCTTGGCTTCAATGACTTTTTAAGCTGAGTGTTACTGCCTAGTGCTAGTTTCTAGCTCAGACTTTTTTCTTAAATTTTAAGCTATCAATTTCTAAAATATCTCCTCCTTTTGTTTCATAAACACCTTAAACTCAAATGTGTCCAGTTAAAGTTACTGTCTTTTAACATTGTATCTATTTGAGAAAAGCTGCATCTATTCTTTAATTCTGGATCTGTAATAATGACTTCCAGAAACCAGCCTGGAATGATCCTAGATCTTTTCATTGTGCTCATCCCCTCATTGGGCAGCCATCAATTTCTTATTGACGCTGACGTTTAAACACAACTTTCTTGTGTCAATCAGTACCTCCACCGGTGCCTTGGTTTAGATGCCCTTCTCTCTCCAGCATTATTGCAATAATCTTCTCCTATTTCTCTTTCTCTACAGTTTTCTTCTAGTCCATCCACTGTACTCTTTTTCATGTAACCTTCTTTTTAAAAGCAAATTTTACAGCCATGCTGCCCACTCTCCATTTAAATGTTTCTTTTGTTCTCTGTAAATAGGATAAAGTCCATGTGTTTCAGCAAAACATATAAGCATCCCTTCCTATGTAACTTTCCTTTGTAAATGTCCTGGCCATACTAGTTACCCGAATGTACTATACAGTTAACATATAACCTTGCATTTGTTGTCCCCTCCATATATGATGTCCTTTTCTGCTACCCACGTCATTTTTGCAGACTGATTATTTCTTCTGTGCAGCTTCTGATTGACTACCCACACTGAGTTCTTACTTTTACCCTCTGTGCTTTGTGGTATTTCAAACCTGTATCTATTTTAGCATTTACATGATACTATGTATGTATACCTTAATAGTGTATGATTTCCTGACAGAAGTTATCTTTGTGTGCAGCACCTATCATAGTGCTTAGATTCACTTTAAACACACACACACAGAGAAAGATAGAGTCTTTGTCTTCTAGGTAATTACTCTTTTGTGATTTTACCACCAGCTTAAACATTAGTAGCTGGGTTTTCCTTCTGTTTTGCAGTATATCAACTCTGGGAACCTGGAACAGTTACTAGACAGTAACCTGCATTTGCCCTGGACTGTGAGGGTGAAATTGGCCTATGACATAGCGGTGGGCCTCAGCTATCTTCACCTCAAAGGCATTTTCCATCGGGACCTCACATCTAAGGTATGAAGGCTTAACTTTCACAGCTCCTTGAGCGACACTCTCCTTCTCCCCTACCAAGAAAACTATGTTAAGAAACCAATCATCTGTGATGGAGATCTTGTACAGATTTACATTTTAATCATGGAGGATACAATTTATTCTTTGTAGCTTGGGAAACCTATCTCCTCAGAGAAAATACTTGTCACTGCTAAAACAGTCAACAGATATCTTGATATCTTGAGTCTTCATGTTTAAGTCTCCTGAATGTATGTTGCCAGAGCAGATGGCATGGTAGGATTAAAAGAATTATGCCTTACAGTAGTGATGACAGTTAAGGCAGTGTGAGAGCCTGTCCTTTACTGCTCTCTCCCATATCTCTGTCTCCAGGAAATAGCTCTTAGCTAAGAGCAAGAGTGGAATGATTTCAGTCACTTGAGTGTAGGTTTTGAGGGCCATAATGTACTGACCCATTTTCTGTCTGTGTGATTGAGTTTCTGCCATCCTCCAGTTCCTTTTTGGCATTAGCTGGTCAGTGTCGTATTCTCTTGCTTTCCAAACTGTTGTGTGACCAGGTTAGAAAATAGTTGCTTTCAGTGGAAGTTGGCTGTATTACAAGGCAGGCAAGCCAGGGCCAAGTGGCCCAGGACATCTCTGTGATAATATTTATATAAATAGTATGTTTGCTCATTCATAGGAAAACTGTAATGCAATCTAACTTATCTACTCACGAGCTGAATCTGAAGTTTCTGGAGAGGGATATAGCAGTACTGTACATGACCAAGAATAGCTGTCATTTCGTTCTCTATGCTCAACACATATACATACTTGGACTATAGCCTTCAATATGGATTAAAGCTCAATATCAAGAAACAAAGATTCTCACCATTGGGCCAATTGGAAGCATCATGATAGATGGTGAAAAGATTGAGATTGTTGACATCTTCAGTTTGCTTGGCTCTGCAATCAACACTCTTGGTACTAGCAGCCAGAAAATTAAAAGACAAATTGCATTGGGAAAATCTACTGTCAGAGGACCTCTCCAAAGTACTGAAGAGCAATGATGTCAGTTTGGAGACTAAGGTACACTTCATCCAGGCCATCGTCTTTGCAGTTACTTGCTGTGTGTCAGAGAGCTGGACAGTCACTAGGGATGATAGAAGGAGAGTTGATACCTTTGAGCTTTGGTGATGGTGAAGAGTAATGCCTATACCATGGACTGCTAGGAGAACAAATTTGTCCCAGAGAGGGTAAAGCCAGGTTGCTCTTGAAGGCAAGGATTCTGAAGCTCTGTCTGACTACTTTGGACATGTTGCAAGGTGGGATCAGTCCTTGGAGAGCGATATCATGCTTGGGAGGGTGGAGGGACCGCGCAGGAGAGGAAGACTCTCGATGAGATGGATTGATTCAGTCACTGGGGTAATGGGTATAGGTGTGTTGGAGATACTAAGATTGGCAAGGGATAGAGCAGGGTTAGGGCTGTTGTACATAGGGTCTCTGTGAGTCACAAGCGACTGAGTGGCACATAACAACAACAATACACACACTTACTGTTGCAGATGAATAAGAAGAAAGTCTGTTCTTTTTATTTTATTTATTTTTTTTTAATTTTTGTGTGAGTGTACCGTCAAATCAGATCTGACTGGTACAGGAGGAGATTGTCCCTCCTTCCCCGGCAGAGCATCTGGTGGATTCGAACCGTGCGCCTCTGGGATTGTAGTTGCAGCTCCTTGCTACTAGGCCACCAGAGCTCCCCTAGAAACTCTGTTCTAAAAAAAAAAGTTTTCAATGAAAACAAAAGCAGGCTCTACCCTCCAAGCCAGCAGACCTAGAGCAGTACATTTCTGGCTGCCTTACATTGTAACAGTTCTGGTGTTTTAAACAGAAAATCAAAAGGGAAGAGCTTGCTCAGCATTTCTCAAGCTGAAGGAACTGAAGAACAAATTCAAGCCTTGAGTTTCAGTATATAAAGATGCTGTGGGCAAAATATTGAATGACCCAGGAAGCATCAATAGAAGATAGGAGTATGCAGAGACACTGTATCAAAAAGAATTGGGTAACACAGAAGCCTTTTAGGAAGTAGCATATATGCTCTAGAATTAATGGTAATAAAGGAGAGGAGTTCAAGCTGCTCTGAATGAATAGGCAAAATAAAGCCCCAGGAACTGTTGGGATACTAGTTGACATATTTCAACAAACAGATGTAGTCATGTATGCATTCACTACATTGTGCCAAGAAATCTAGAGGACAGCTACCAGGCCAACGAAAGAGTTCCATATTTCTTTTCTTTCCTAAAAAAGTTAATCCAAAAAAAATGTCGAAATTTATGAACAATATCACTAATATCACATCACTAATATGGCATGCAAGCAACATCTTGCTGAAGATTATCGCAAAACTACTAGAATAATACATTAACGGAGAACTGCCAGAAATACAAGCAGATTTAGAAGAGGTCGTGGCTATTCAATATTGTATTGGAAGTCTTAGTGATAGCAATATGACAAAAGAAGGAAATAAGAGGTATCCAGATTGGCAAAGAGGAGGTAAAATTATCTCTCTATGCAGATGATATGATAGTATACTTAGAAAACCCTAAATACTCAGCAGGAAAACTACTGAACATAGTTGACCAATTCAGCAAAGTGGCAGGATACAAGATCAACATATAAAAATCAATTTAATTTCTCTACAGTGACAAAGAGAATACAGAACTGGAGCTAAGAAAAACAACACCCATCCCAATAGCTAATCACAATATTAAATAGTTTGGAGTAAATCTAACTAGAAACACAAAGGATCCTTTCAAAGAAAATTCCAAAACATTACTACAAGAAACAAAAAGAGACCTGGAGAAATGGTAGAATATACCTTGCTCTTGGATAGAAAGACTCAATATTGTAAAAATGACTACCAAAGGCAATTTACATGTTCAGTGTAATCCCAATACAAATACCAATTCCATTCTTCAACAAGATGGAAAAGGCAATCTCCAATTTCATTTGGAATGGGAAAAAAACCTGCAATAAGCAAAGCACTCCTTAAAAAGAGAAACAAGGTAGGTGACATCCCACTCCTTGATTTCAAATCCTACTACACTGCCATGGTGGTCAAGACAGTGTGGTACTAGTATAATGACAGACACATAGATCAATGGAATAGAATTGAAAATCCAGAAATCAGCCCATCAACCTATGGTCAACAGATTTTTGACAAGAAGATGAAATCAGTCAGTTGGGGAAATGACAGCTTTTTTAACAAATGGTGTTGGGAAAATTGGAAAACAGTCTGCAGAAAACTCAAACAAGACCCAAACCTCACATCATACACAAGAACCAACTCAAAGTGGATCAAGGACATAAGACTAAAACCAAGGGCTATAAACTTCATGAATGGGATCTTCTAAGAATCAAATCTCTATGCACATCCAAAAACTTCTCCAACAGGGTAAAAGAAAACCACAGACTGGGAAAAAATATTTGGTAATGACATGTCTGATGAGGGACTTATATCTAGAATTTATAAAGTACTCAAGCACCACAACAAGATAAACAACCCAATTGCAAAATGGGCACAGGATATGAACAGACACTTCACTAAAGAAGACATTAAGATGGTGAATAAACAAATGAAGAAAAGTTCAAAATCCCTAGCTCTAAGAGAGATGCAAATCAAAACAACTATGAGATATCATCTCACCGCAGTAAGAATAGCAAAATTTAACGGAACAGCAAACAACAAATGCTGGCAATGTTTTGGAGAAACTGGAATATTTATTCACTTTTGGTGGGAGTGCAAAATGGTGCAACCACTGTGGAAGGTGATAATGGCACTTTCTCAAAAAGTTAGAAATAGAAATACCATTTGACCCAGCAATTCCACTACTGGGAATTTACCCTAAAGAGACCGTAATTGCCACTCAAGCAGATATATGCACACCTATGTTTATTGCTGCTTTGTTCACAATAGCAAAGAGTTGGAAACAACCCAAGTGCCCATCAACAAATGAGTGGATGGAGAATCTGTGGTATATTCACACAATGGAAATACTATGCAGCATTGAAAAGCAAGGAACTCATGAAATATTATACAAAATGGGTGACCCTGGAGGACATTATGTTGAGTGAAATATCTCGATTACAAAAGGACAAATACTGCATAATGACACTGTTATAAAAACAGGATTGACATTGGGTTTGGGAGGAAACTAGGAAAAGTGAGGATAAATAATGTGCACTGTATTTAAATGGATGAGGGTGAGAATTCTTTAAAAGGGGTATATGATTGGTTATTATTTGCATGGTGAGAGTCCGCAATGAGAGCGGCATAGTAAAGCAGACAGGGGGTGGGACGAGGGGAGGAATTGTATAACAATGAAAGAAATTTTTTTTCTTCTCAAAGAGAAAAGTGAATGGGGGCGGGGGAGAAGTGGGCAGGGAGGAAAATGTGCAATAGTGAATGAATGGAAATCCAAGTTCTCGATAATCCTTCATTAAAATCTTAATTTAACACTGCAATCCTAGAGGTATGCAATTTGAATCCACCAAATGCTGTGCTGGAGAAGGAGGGGCAATCTCCTGCTGTACGAGTCAGATCTGATTTGATGGTACAGATGCACAAAATAATAACAAAATAAAATTTTTTAAAAAATCTTAATTTAAGAAAAGGGAGGGAAGTCTAATAAAGACAAAAAAAAAAAGAAAAAGAAAAAAAGGACGTGGCATTAGGAATATCATTGCCAGTGTAAGATCTTGACTAAAAGCAGAGAATACTAAAAGGAAATCTATTTGGATTTTATCTGCTAAGCAGAGGCATTTGACTTTGTGGATTGCAACAAATTGTAGCTAACATTGAGAAGAATGGGAATCCCAGAATACTTGATTGTGCTCATGTGAAACCTAGACCAGGAAGCGGTTGTCCGAATAGAACAAGGGAACACTGACTGCATGGTTCACAATTAAGAAAGGAGTACATCAGGTATGTATTCAGAACAGATCACTCGGGAGATTGAACCTTATGAAGA